GCTTAGTTTTTTTAAAACAATTCAGAGTATTTTTTTATGTTCTTCATGTAAAGCTGTGGATGACATATACGTGCTTTGGGAAATCCAGTAAAATATTTTCCTTGAAGTTTCAGGGTTTTTTCTCTATCTTGTATTTTTCACACTCCCAGCTTTTCACTTCACTTGCTTTTAGCTGCTTATTTTCCATGCTTGCAGTAAGACAGAAAGGTTGATCCTATCAGATACAGGCTGGTGCTTTTAAGAACCATCCTTGTTAATCTAGTAGAACAACTAGTGAGCAGCTTCCAGCAGGGCCGACTGTCCCCTCGCTCCTTTGCACGCCCTTGCTCAGAGTTAGCATCTCCCTCGAAAGCTCCCGGGCTACACGGTGGCCTCGCTGTTGCGGTGCCCACCTGTGCTGCCATGGCTGGGCAGAGCTTCCCAGGAGATGTTTCCTTTTTCCACCCTGTTCATCTCTGCACCCAAGCTTTAGTGCTTGCCCCTGAGCTGCTGCAGGCAGGCTGCTGAGCTGGGGCACCCCAGAAGGGAGAGCACCGCCCTGTCTGTGTGCCTCCATTGCCACTGTCTCATCAAAATGGGGCTTTTCGTTGTGTAAGTCAAGAGAGAACAGCCCAACTGAAGTGCTGCTGTGAGGCTGGTGCCTGGCACAGCTCCACTCCCCATCCCCTCGTCCATAGTTGACGCTAACATGGTATTTCATGGTGTGTGGAAAGAAAGAGCTTTTGCTACCAGCTAGAGACAGTACTGTCCTAAGGGACCCCACAGTGTTTTGTCCTTGAGACTGATCTCCACGGTCACTCTGTGCATCGCTTCACATTCTCCCGAAGGGGTGCCAGGTTCGTGGCACAGGGCAGCTCTGTGCACCAGAGGCAGAGGAAGGGGTGTCTTCTCCAGCTGAAAAGTGACCTAAAATCTTTCAGATGTGGTGTTTGTACTGTAACCTAGATTAATCCACCCTTCCAGTGCATATAATGGGACAGGAATTGTTGCTGAGATTTAGTGAGCACAGGCTACTGGCTCACTATGGGATGCCCTGATGCCAAATATGCATCTGAGATATGTATTTGAGGGAAGGTCCCTTTCAAGAACATCTACTTGAGCTGGGAACCTCGGGGGCTGGTTCAGTCACTGCAGACAGGTCCGAGTCATTAGCAAGAGTAAAGAAAAACCAGAAATGTTTTATTGCTTGTCAGTGTTTCCCCCTGTTACAGCACATGGGATGAACAGTCACTAGGAATTTCCTCAAGTTCTAATTATCTGTACAGGAGTAATAAGGGCTCTTTTGGTAGGTAAAAACACACAGGAGTGAGTAGGGGCTGTGGGGGTCTTGGCAGCTTAGTCGATGTGGCCACATCTCCCTCTCTTGGCTGCTGCAAGACGCCTTCAGCTTGGAGCCAGGAAGCGGGGATTGTCAGTCTTGGCTGCTGCTCAGCTGTGCGGAGCGGGCACGTCGCTCTGGATGGGTTATGAATGCGACTGGAGATGTAGAAGGATAGCCCCGAGGAATTGTTCCCAGAGGAGGCAGTTACAGCTGGCTGTGGGCTTTTTGCATATATCACAGAAATTTGGATAGAGGAAAGGATTTTTTTTTTTTTAAATATGAAACTGAGTCAGCAGTAGGTAAGTGCACTACCCCCTTTGCTCCCTCAGGTAGTCAGTGGGAAATGGTAAAGCACGAGCCCACCCAAGCATGAGGGTCACAACTGTAGTGGGTGTGTGAACAGCTACTCTCCCTCCTCCCCCCGACCCTCCAAGCAGACACACTTTGTCAGTAGAAATCTCCCTGTAACAGGCATCTATTATTCTTTGTTTGAAAGCTACCTGCTATATCTTGGGCACCGCTAGAATGTAACTGGAATTACACACCATACCCTGCACAGCACAGCCAGTGAAACCCTCATTTCTTAAGAATTCTCACCCTATTTCGCTTATACTTCAGGCTCCATTGCCCCCAGAGTAACCCCAGCTCTCCCCACATCCCAGCAGATGCCTTCTCTGTATTGGTGCTCCTGTGACCCAGACGGAGGGAAGGCAGCGTGAGTCCCTCCTTCCTTCTCTCTCAGCTGGCTGCTGCTTTCCAAGGCTCTTGCAGGAGCACGGGGCTGCGATCCAGCTCCCCCCACTTCAGCATCCTGCAGCAGAACTGTGCCTGCCGGGGTGCAACTCCCCGGGCTCCAGGCAGACCAGCACCCCAGGAAGAGGCAGCTGCACCCTGGGCTCCCTAGACACAAGCTCTGCTTCCAGAGGGAGGATGAGGTGACCAAAAGGTGGGTAGATCTTCCCTCTGCATCCCTGACACCTCTGTGCTTTCTGTCCTACTTGGCTGAAGGTGGACAGGGGATTGAAAAGCTGCTGGGGAAGATGCCAGGCAGACAAGTGCCCCACAGCTTCGTGTCCTTCACAGAGTCTCTCAAGCCCTTGCTTTTTTTTCCTTTTTCTGTTGGGTGGAAAATCTGCATGATGGATAGAAATGGCAAAGCCTCATCACAGGCAAAGGACAGCTGATGCAGGGTGCTGTTTGTCGTGGTCATGTTTCACAAAAACCACTGTAAAACACAGCTCTTTCCTGCTTCCTTGCAGTTATATGGCAAACGCTGGAGCAGCAATACTGCTCCAAACACTGGGTCCAACCCTGTTCATCTCCTCATTTACAACAGGATTGTAGACCTTGGAGACACCCAAAAGCTGTCTGGACATGGTCCTGGGCAGCCAGCTCTCGGGGGCCCTGCTTGAGCACAGGGGCTGGACCAGATGACCTCCAGAGGTCCCTTCCAGCCTCAGGCGCTCTGTGACTTGGGGCACTGCATTGCCCTTAGCCCCCAACCTGCCACTTTACTGACACCCACAAAATTGCATGTTAGCAAAGGAAGCAAGAAACTGCTTCCCCAGGGACTGTCTGTAAAAGGGCTTTGTTCCAGCAAGATGTCTTCAGTAAACCTGTTTCTTATGTCCCCTAATAATTTAGATACAGCCAAAAGAATTTCCTAACCCCTTCCCTGAGCCAGGCCATCATTTCCACTTCCAGCAGCATTGGTTTTGCCTACCCAGTGCATTGCTGTGGTGGTTATAACTGGCAGGAACGGCACCGTCCTGTCCTTCACGGTGCCACCAGCAGCACTTGTCAGATGCCATACATGTGAGTCCAGCACCTTTAAACTCTGGGATGCGTCTCCCTGTGATCCTGCCGCTGGCTGCTGTGCTTGCTTCGAGTTGCAGTTCCGAGCGGACTGACCAGAGGCATTGGGATGCGGGTGTGGGTTGAAGGGAGGATGTTGGTTAGTGGGGACAGCTCGACCCCGCAGGGACGTTGGCAGGAGCAGTAAGCTCTTTTGTCACGGTGTTATTATTTTCACAACAAAAGGCAAGAAATTCTTAGGGTAACGCTATCAAATGGATCTCTAGAGGTGTAAAGGGGTAACTTAAACCATGTGTTTATTTTAAAATGGATTGAGTAAATTTGGTGTTGAGGTTGTAAAATATACAGACCCCAAGAAATGAACGTACAAATGCAAGCAGGAGATCTGGCTAGCTGCACTTGTGGCCCGGAGAACTACTGTAAAACTGTCCTATTTTGAGCACCCCATCCTGCCCTGAGGTTATCACACGCTTCCTTGCCCCTGCAGACACGCTGCCTGCGGATCACCCTGTGCACTTGCCTGATGCTGGAGCTGTGATTTTCCTGTCTCACGTTGCTTGCCATGCTCTAGTACCCAGCTGGCACCTTGCAGCACATCCAACGTCGTGACCTCTTCCCAGTCCTCTTCTCCTTGAGCGTTTTGCATGGGGATGTCATTGCCCATCTATAGTTAAACAGCGCTGCCCTCCCAAGCCTTCCTCTTGTGCCTTTCCCAGGACCTCACTCCTCTTCACAGCCTTTCTCTTCCCACTGCCACCTCTGACAGGCTGCGAGAGCCCTTAATGCAAAATGCTTCGCCATGCTCTGTCGGGTGCAAAAGTGGCCACTGACTCCTGGTCACAGGGAAAAGAAACCTCCTTGGGTTTATGCTCCTACAGCAATAGGGCTGCAAACCTCAGGGCCAGCTCCTAACCAGCGTGGATAGCTTGTGTTAAAACCCACAGGGACTGACAGGTCCCAGATAACATGCTCCTCTTTCACCATGGGCAGGTTGCAGAGCTGTTTGGGGCAGTTTTGTCGGCAGAAGCACAGTGTAAGGGGATGGAAGTGGGTGTTTAACTTGGCACTGTCCCCCCAGGTGATGGGCCGATGGGGGCTGGTTGCAGGGCCAAGCGGTGCCGGCTGTATGCCCTGCTCTCCTCCAGCATCAGGAGCAATGCTGCTGGTGAGCAGTCCCTCCTGGGATGCTTCCACCAGCACACACACATATATACTCACCTGCTTGGTCCCAGCGTGCGGCTGCATGGAGGGGCTCTTGCCAAACAGCACAGGGGAGGCTGAGGGATGTTGTTCATGCTGGCTACGACAAACACTGTTTTTACATCTCCCAGACAGAGTCAACCATCCCCATGGCGTGCTTGAAATGCTGGAATTCACCAGCTGTTTTCTTTGGACACTGGTGTGTTGTAGCTGGACAAAAACAGGGGTGTGCTCTTGGACTGGGCACATCCACCCGTCTGCTGCGCCAAGAAAACTTTGCCCGCTGCTAGGACCTCTGCCTGCTTTATAAACAGAAATGGGGCTGTTTGCCCTGACCTGCGGCCTTCTGGAAAAGAGAAGGAAGGCAGCTTGCCCAGGGTCACGGGGAGAGCTGGAGCAGGGTTTTTTCCCAGGCTCCAACCTTATGGCTTTGCCTCCATCCTTCCCCTCTGTGGGTCTCCAGCAGGACCCCACTGGCTTTGAGCAGGGGAATAAAACACACAGCATAAAATCCCAGTGCCTGAGGCAAGCGATAAACCTCACCCAAGGAGCTGTCTTACAGGACAGAGAAAGTACTCAGAATAATTGACGCTGTACAGAGTGCCTACAAGGTGCTTAGCACATGGTGGCTGCTCACAGGACTTGGGGCTGCTTTCATGAAGACTCAGCTGCGGAGCAGTTCCTGGGAGCAGCTGGCAGCTTTGAACCCTTCTGGGATGTCACTGTCCAGTTTGGAAATGATTTTGTAAATGGGTTTCTTCCAGGAGGGGTCGGCATCCTTGCCCGCCCGGACGGCACTGAAGAACTCCCGCAGCGTCAGGCTGGCCACCTCCAGGAACCGCCCTGGCACCTGCGACGAGATGGGCATCAGCCCACAGCACCACCGGGTCCCCGGCTCCCCCTTACCCCAGCAAACTCCATCAGCCCCACCATCCCTGCCCACCGGCTCCCTCTCCTCACCTCGAAGTCGTTTCCCTTGTTATAGTGCATGTTGAGGGCACGGAAGAGCTCTGAGTCCCGGGAGACCCGGAGGGCTCCAGCATCCACGACGCCCTCCAGCAGGGCCTGCCGGTCAAACTTCTCCACCTGGATGTAGTAAAACTCGCGGAAGTTGCTGAACCACTTGATGAGCTGGGAGGTGATGCAGCGGCTGAACTGCCAGGGGACAGCCAGGGGACAGGCGTTACACCAGCTTGGAGCCTCCTGACCCACAAGCCCAGCCGCCTGCCACTGGCCTTGCCCCAAACCCAGCCCTGCCCCAGGGGTGCAAAAGCACCAGCCAGGACCATGACATGGAGGTGTCTGTGGTGCCTCTCTCTGCTGAAATTTGGCTCCCACCAGCCCCGTGGCGGGGAGACACGTTCACGATGTGCTTTAATTCCAGTGCCTCGATTGCACAGAGCGAAGAACTGGCAGCCCAGGTCTGCCATGACCATGAGCACCTGCTCCAGGGCAGCCTGTGCTGAAGCACGTGTCATGCCCTGGCTCCTGCCAGCGAGGCGGGAGGGGACACAAGAGCATCCCCTTCCCTGCGGTTCCCCAGTGATGCAGTCTGGGTGCCACACTGTGTGGGAGCCCTGCCTGGCACCAGCACCAGGTGCTGCTGTTTTACCTGCACGTCGAGGAAGTAGGTTTTCAGCAGAGTGGAGCTGGGGTAGCGCGTGAAGAAAAACATCAGCTTGGCCTTCTTCAGGTGGCTGGGGGTCAACGCCTCCTGGATCTGCCTTGGGGTCAAGGAAAGTCTGTACACAGCAGCCTGACCAGCTCGGCACACCCCTGAGCACTGGCCCTGGCACACACGTGCCTGGTGCCTGTGACAACCCCTCCCCATGGCCTGGCAGAAGGGTGGAGGGGGTTTGTCCCCAGCCAGGCAGCTGCTGGCTTTTCCCTTCAGCATCCCTGGGGAAGCTGCTGCTCCCCACAGCACTTCCCAGGCTGGTGGGATATCCATGAGACATCTGTTCCTGGCATAGGATGATGGGACTGCCAGGATGGCCCAAGAGCAGGCTTGGGAGCTCCTGACTTCTACCCCCAGCTACGCTATAGCATCTAGCCAACCCTGGGGAGCAGCAGTGCCACTCCACTGCTCAGGACCCCTTTCCTACCCACCCCTTTTTAGCCCCCTGTGGAATAGGGAGGACCCTGGCCCTGGGGAGACCAGCAAGGGCTGTGCCAAGCTGTGGCTCTGGAGGACAAGGGGAGTACATCCAAGCCCAGGGACCTCTCTAGCTCCAGCCGAGCCCAGGGACCTCTCCAGCTGCCCCCAAAGGATATATGGGTGGAGGCAAAGGGCACCCCGTCCATCGCAGCCTGCAGCTCCCCACAGCCATCCCTGCCAGCCGGCAGCAGTGCCAGGCCCTCCATGTCAGCTGGGCTCAGGGGCAGGGGACGCTGCTGCTGCTGCTGCTGTCTCACAACTGATGACCTCAGTTTGACAGTTTCCCAGTGCAAGTCGAGGGGCTCCAGA